GTTTTCTTCACTTAGGCCCTCATTGCACAAAGTCCTCGAGCACATGCTTAACTCTAAACACAGGCATAGTGTTGATTTCAGTGGAGCCACTTCCATGCTTAACATTAAGCACGTGTTCAAGTGCTTTGCTGAATTGGGACCTCGGAGAAGTAGCTGCATTTCTCTGGTGGATGAAATAGCTCTGGGCGTAACAGGTTGAAGAGTGTGATAGAAATGCAGGGTCATTACAGTGACTGACAGGCAGGCCAAATGCTACTGGCACCGAGACATTTCACAAACGTGCTTTCTGCTCCCTTTCTCTACCATTCTTCCATCATGAGGCGAGGACACACCAAAGGAGTCAATGTATGTTGTTAACAGCACAGAAGGAACAAAGCTGGTTAATGGCACTGCATGAGCTTACTAAACTGAAACCAACACCCCACTTTGGCTCATTCCAGGGTACGTGGCCAGTGGTTGTCAGCAGATCTCTGGTAAAAGAGGAGAAAAGGAACTGGTGAAGGCTGGGGTCTGCAGGGGGCAGGCTGAGTTTCCTCTGAAGAAATCTGCAGGGAGAGTAGATGTATGAGTGACCATGACAGATCCCATTATTTTGAGTTGTTAAGTACACACAGCACTCTGTAAACACACAGAAAACAAGATCCCTGTGCTTTTAGCTGGACTGGCTTTGTGACCCCCTGACTCCATCCGTTTCAAAAAGTGGTTGGAGGGTATCACTATTTTCCTTCCACCCAAAGAAGGCATCACCCCACACTGCTATTAGCCAGCTCCAATTTCACACACACACTTTTTTTCTTGGTGTCCATCCATTACTCTTCTTTGAATGTTTTTAGCTCTTTAAATCAATCTGACTGAATCTCACATTATAGGTTCATCTCTATTTTAAGGGGCTGTTACAGTTTGCAAACCAGTTTGTATAAATGATGAAGAACTGATACAGTGACCTTCCAGCCCTGATTTTTGAAAGGAACATCTAACGCTCAACGTGTAATTGCTGTGTACTTGTATATTTATATTATGGTAGTACACAGAGGACTCAGTCAGGATCCAAGGTCCCATTGTGCTGGGTGTGAAACCTTGGGGGAAGTGTTTCTTCCGCTCTACTCCATGCTGATTAGGTTTAAACTGGAGTATTGTGTCCAGTTCTGGGCGCCGCATTTCAGGAAAGACTAATTGGATAAAGTCCAGATAAGAGCAATAAAAAAGATTAAAGGTCTAGAAAACATGACTTATGCGGGAAGACTGAAATAATTGGGTTTGTTTAGTCTGGAGAAGAGAAGACTGAGAGGGGACATAACAGTTTTCAAGTACATAAAAGATTGTTACAAGGAGGAGCTAGAAAAAATGTTCTCGTTAACCTCTGAGGATAGGACAAGAAGCAATGGGCTTAAATTGCAGCAAGGGCGGTTTAGGTTGGACATGACATTAGGAAAAACTTCCTAACTGTCAGGGTGGTTAAGCACCGGAATAAATTGACTAGAGAGGGTGTGAAATCTCTATTGGAGATTTTTAAGAGCAGTTTAGACAAACACCTGCCAGGGATTGTAAAGAGAATACGTAGTCCTGCCAAGAGTGCAGGGGACTGAACTAGATGACCTCTCAAGGTCCCTTCCAGTCCTACAATTCTATGATTCTGTGTGGGGTACATTCTCCCCTACCTAAATGACTGATGTCCTGGCAGTGTGATATCTATGACGGGCAATTTTATCTTCTCTGTGTCTATCGGCATACTCAAGTAATACCAAAAGGTACACATAATAAGAGTATTGCCTGTGGGCTTTTACTCCCTAATGGCAGTAGCAAAATTAAGAACATGGTCCGCAGATTGGCTTCTAGTTTTACTTCTTCAGCTAGGCACCTCTATAGAACTTCTCACAGATGTTGTTGATAGAATTAGGCAAATTCAACCCAGCTGCAGTGCAGAGCTCATCTGGTGAATTTCCTGGTGTTTGTGCTTCTTCACTTTGATCTTCATGAAGTATTCCCCTGCTACCGGATTTAGTTTGATTGTAGAATGAAATCATATGAAGATTCACCTCCTTCTTCAATTTGTATGCTTACATTAGCTACTTTTTAATCAAATTTTCCAGATTACCAGACTGACTCCCATCTATCTGCAATTTTCACATTTACTGTGGAACTAAAATTGTGTAATACATCTCTTGTCTCCCACTTCTACCATAGACATGATTACTTTGGCATACCATCGCCACTTGTTTGCCAACTGATGTTTCTGTTTTCTTAGTAGCAGACTTTGCTATGCATATAATTTAGCATCTCAGGTCCTTCCCATGCTGCTGATAGGTTACCGCAGCTTGCCTTTGCTGTTGGATTTCAAAGTACAAATCAGTTGATAGCAAAGGATGCCTGCCAAACATAGAAAGTATGGGGTCTCTCCCATTGCATCATTCTTAGCACAATTACATACCAAACCTTTAACTAGCAACTATTCCTCTAGAGTATCTGTTTGTCAGCAACTGATTTATTAAACTGTATTTGGAGAATTTTCAGTCTCCCAGTACTTTATATCTATTTTTCATTAGCCAGCATTTAAAGAATGCTGTTTATTGGAGTTAGTGCTTGGACTATATGTCCATACAAATAAATGCCTTTTGCAGTTCAGATTTCTTGAAGATAAATATGCTCTATACCTTTAAGGACGAGGCCTGAGTTAAAAAGGCTTCTGCAGAAAGATTGCCCTGGATTAAGGGAGTTCTGATGTGAGACGGCATCCACGGTGCCCTGTTCCCCCAGTGGTCCAGAGACCAGACAACATTGCCCCAAGTGTAGATGGTGCTGGGTGAGGCAAAGGGTGGCTGAGATGCCCAGAGGATACAATGATTCTGTACCTCCCTTAGCAACCAGCTTCACTGTGACCATTATAAAGATCTGAGATTAAAGTTGCCATCCCCCAATGCAATCATTGAGTGGGCGCAGTGGTACAAATACTTCTGGCATCTGTGTCAGTGTTGGGTCAGCTCTCAAAACACTGAGCACATGAAAAGAGAATTTTAAGCATCCATGAACTTTCAAAAAGCCAGAGGAGAGATTAGAGAGACCGGAAGGCGAGGTGAGGGGGGGGTGAGGTAATATCTGTTGTTGGAGTTATTAGGCCTACAGCTCTGAAAATGCTTGAGTAACTGTTTTAACGGGTAGCACTGGGACTGCTTTACATGTCACTCTGGCTACCTTTGGAAATGTGACAATCCCAGAACAGTGTTGGAAGACTAAAACTAACCACTGTGAAAAATTATATAGCCTGCTAGTACCAGGTCTGTCCCCTTCTTTCACCCTAAACAGTCGTCCTCCTCACTACTTCAAGAGGGATGGACATATGGGGAAAGGATGGCTCATTATACTGGAAAGGTGGTGTGCGGGGAAAGTTCAGTAGCTAGTGGGGATAGGTGAGGAACTCGGGGGACTCCAGAAGGGTTTCATAACTTGGAGAAGGCTTGACATGTTCGTTTGGGGGGTTCTGGCAGAACTCAGTTGCTATAGAAGGGGTTCAGATCTGGAATTTGGTGGTGCAGATGTAGCAGGGCCAATTTAATGACTCAGGGAGCCATGCAGGGGGACCCTACTGTTGAAGTTGATGGGAGCTGCAGGCCTTCAGTACTTCTCAGGGTCTGGCTCTAATTCTCAATAATTCAATGCAGTTGACTCAATGCAATTATTCAGTGTTGTGAGCATATGAACAACGATCCATGGGCGCCCTACAGGTCACAGAGCTCTTTTAAGAGTATTCTGCAGGTTGCTGTTTTTATCTTTGCTCTCCCAATGCCGTAGAGGTATCATGCTAACTCACAGCCAGAAACTAACAGAACGTGCTGTCAGATTGTCAGAGGTATTAGACACTGGTGCCTCTCCAAGCACCTTTTTTTGGAAATGTAGTGTCAGGAAACCCCACAGTATTTATGCTGCCTCCCTTCTCTTAGGAGATTTCCCGTTCTGTATAAATGCTGTATTTTCCCCTTTTATTCTAGCTTGTGAGCCACCTGCCCGTGTCTCTAATGGACAGGACGACCGTGGCTGGGAACCTGTTTTCCTTGTTGGCTCAAGTGTGACCTATGTATGTAACCGTGGTTGGTCACTTGTTGGAGTATCCTCCATTCAGTGTATAGCTGGAGATGGGGGAACTCCACGCTGGGATGCACCTGTCCCTGAGTGCAAAGGTGATTGATTTCTTCATCACACTAGAATGACTGAGATAGGAAAAGGGTGGAGGGCACAGTGCAATGACCTGGGAGCTATTTAACATCTTAGCCCTTAAATATTGAAAATATGTGGAGTCAATGGCCAACTCACTGCAGATTCCTCCTTTGCAGCAGACCAAACACTCCCAGCTGGGATGCCCACTGCCAGTGTCCTCTCTGCCCTGGTACTCGTACACATGATCTGCCCTGACCTATGCCCTAACTTATGGTGGTATCTAAACAAAGCCTTTGGCATCCTGTACGATGAAAAGTATCAGAGGGTGGCTGTGTTAATCTGTATCCACAAAAATGAGGAGTCCGGTGGCACCTTAAAGACTAACAGATTTATTAGGGCATAAGCTTTCATGGGTAAAAAACCCACTTCTTCAGATGGGTCTTTTGAAGTAGAATTTTTCTTGAAATCACTTCCCATGAAAAATTTCAGGGTCACTTTTGTTTTGTTCTGGTTCAGGATGAAACTTATTTAAAAAGCACAATATATTTCACATGACATTTTCATTTTCTGGCCAGCTCTAATTGAGAATATGCAACACCTTTCAGGATCATGTGTCAGATACAGACTGTATGAGACAGACTCATTTAACAAGCTGGATAATGGCTCAGATCAAAAAGGACCAAGCATGCTTGTGAGGATAGGTCCTTGTCTTCTTCAGAGTAATCACATTCCCTCTGTTTCTGTTTTACAGGTGAAGCAAATCAATTCTCCTCTGTGCAACATGGTTCGTGAGAGTGTAAAGTTTGTCCACTGTGGTGTGTCTGTGACAGAACTGAGACCCCTGCTGGAAGCAAAGAAACTGTATCTGGAGATTCAGAAACTTAAGCGGGACCTGGAAAAATACCAGGAATAGCTGAAATCTATGACCCATTACTGTGACAAACTGTCTCCTTTGGATGCAGTTTGTATAATTACTTCGTACATATGATGATTGTTACTATTTGCAGAGAACTTGCTAGTACATCTAGTGATTGAGGAAGAGATTAGCCAGTACATCAGGAATCAGATTTTTTTCATGCTGTGTGCCAGCAGTTGGTTTTTTTTCCTTTCCTTTCAATCTGACAAATGTAAGTCCCTACTTGATAAACTAGGGATTTCATCCTCTTATGTTTGTGGGGACTATAGTAAAAGGACTGAATTCAGACTCCTTTCAGTTCAGAAAGGGAAAGCAAGTTGAGAGAAACTAGATTAAAATGTACGGAAGGAAACCTTCAGTTAACGCAAGCTTCAGACCCTATGCAGAATACACCAACAACCTTGAACTTTCAGAAATCACCCAACTGTTGCATATATTTAACCTTAATGCATTATAACCCAAACACATTTAAAGTAGTGAATGGCTATTTAACTGCCTGATTTCCATGAACCTTAAGGGCAACTCTGTTCACAAATCCTTCTGCCCCACTGAAAATGTAAAGGTTAAAAAAGCCAATTTCTGCCCTAACCTCTTATTAAAAAAGTTGGCAGTTTTTTCCTTCCCAAACTGAACACATCTATTTTTGGTTGACATCAGTGCTGATCTCATCTGTAGCATTTCTATATCCTCTCTCACACTCCCACGAATCAATGGTGAAAATTTAACTGTAGACAACAACCTGCTAACCATTTCCCCCTTGCCCAATGAATGATAGGGGTGTCCTCTAACCTACACCTTTGTGATCAAGCAATTATTTCTGCCCTGCCGGGCTACAATAAAGTGCAACTGTAAAAACTGCCGATTGTCTTTTGTTTTTATAATTTTCTCCCTTTGGCTGTAAGACAGGAAGATGCCCAGCATGTTTAAAGCCTCCTTTTCCTGATGAATGAAGCACCAATATCTCCCACGGGCCAGTGAGCCGTCACATCAGGGACTCGAAGGGGCATGGGACAGCCCCTCCTCTCACACCTAGAGATGGTTAGAGTTGAAACATATTTAGCCAGGTAGCTTAGGGGCAGCTTGTTCTACTGCTGCCAGTGGTACCTGTTCGGTGGAATTACAGGGGAAGGTCCGTATCCAGCGTGGTTCGGTTTGCGTTTGTTAGAGCTTTGAGTCAGATACATCGCCGGTGTAATGACATTAGCGGAGGTGGATGGAGTAATAGCAGGGATGAGTAGAAAGGATCCTTTGGTAACTAGACTGTGTCTTGTGTTTCAGAAATCATCACTGTTTGGGGGTGCTGATCAGCACAGGGGGGCGTTGTGCTGCTGTATCAGAATAACTTTGTGATTGTCCCCAGAGTAAAAAAATAAGAATGCTGCATTTCCCTTCCATTGAGAAACCTTAGCTGTACGGTGCTCAGTGTTACAGTACTAACTGCAGCTGTATCCGGCTCTACCACTTGCCCTGTGTGCCATGAGCATTACGCTACAGAGGGGGCTGGGCAGCATGTGCACACTCTGCCCACCCCCTTCCTGGGCCCCTGCAGGTGCAGCGCACGGACTCCCACTTCCCCTTGCCTCATGTGCTTATGGGTGGCCATGCCTGGGGTCCGTGTTGCACAGTGCGCGGGCTGAGGAGGGCTGCAGCCCTGCCTGGACTGCGCTGTCACCACCATTCTCTGGGAACTCACCTGGCACCATGACATCACTTCCCTCTGGCTGGACCCTGCGGCTCCTGGGGACCCTGGTACTCATGCTGCTGCCCGGGGGAGCTCTCAGTGAGTAGGAGGATGAGTCTCTCCCTTCAATCCCATCCCCACCTTCTCCCCTCTCCTGGCTTTCCCCTTCGCCTGCACGCCGCACCCCTTGACTCTCCCTTTGCTTCCCTCGGGCAAGCTCGTGGTCACTGAAGATCCCATGTCATTCTTACCGCTCTGATTCTGGTTTCCTCGCCAAATTCCAGCTCTGCTACGTTTCTCCTGCAGTTCCAAATGGAGGCGGTGCTTTTCTTTCCTTAAGGCCCCGTTCCACAAATTTCTTGAGCACATGCTTAACTTTAAGCACACAGGTTGTGTTGACTTCCATGGGGCAACTCCCATGTTTCTAGTTGACCTCACACTGTAAATGCTTGGACGTGACAGGTTGAAAAGTACTGTTTGGCCTGAGCAGTTAGCCAGTATTGCCTGGGAGGGACGGGGGAGAAGCGGAGCAACGGCACACCTTGGGGAGCAGGCGGAGAGGAGATGAGCTAGGGCGGGAGGTTGCGGGGGCCCCCAGGAAGCAATGAGGGGGGGGAAATGCGATACGCCCGGGGGAGGAGGCGGGGCTGGGGATTTGGGGAAGGGGTTTAGAAGTGGAGGAGTTGGGGCAGGGCCGGGAGCAGAGGGGCACAAAAAAAGGGGGGTGGGAATTTTTTTGCTTGGGGCGGCAAAAATCCTAGAGCCGGCCCTGCCTGTCAGCAAACTACTGAAAAGCTCGCGCTCTCCGTTTTCTCTCAGACCAAATTGCCAGTGCATTTCTTGCCATCTCCTTGGCTTTCCTGCTCCTTCTTTGTCTGCTTCTGGCTGCCTGGGCAGGTTCTCTCTGCCTGTTCCCTGGGTGCTTCTGTTCACAGACATACAAGCACACAGCCTTCAAATGAAACGAACCAGCCTTGCGTGCAGCCTGTGTTTGGGCAGTGGCTCCTATAGTTTCATCCATCTAACTCTATAAAGGAGCTTAACTGTGTCTGATATTTATCCTGGATGGAGGGCAGCTGTGGTCATGCCCACCAGCTTCAGTGAGGGTCACCCAACCTCCTTCATAATAGTGTTATTGAAATGAAGGATCATTACCAGGATTAACAGGCCAGCCACTCACAAATTTGAACAATGTGGATGACAGGTCTGTGCCAGGTGTTGTTTGAATAGGGGGTTCTAACTTCTAACAGTGACCAGCATTTCCCTGGTGCCTGATCAGTGTGATTGTGACCAGAATAGGACCACTGCTAATGTAATTACTACTGAGCATAACTGTGTGGTGAGAGAATCTCCATGCGGGATCTGCAGTGCGCAGTCTGCCCAGCCTGACTGAAGCTAGGTGTACGAGCTGGCTCAGGAACAGGACTGCTTCTGGCTTGCCTGTGGGGATGTGCACGGAACTGACACCCAGTGCAGTGGTGCAGCTAGTTTCATGTTTTGTTTTTCTAAAAAAAGAGGAAATTGTCACGGCAGTATAAGCCTGAATCTCACTGAGCTGAGACAGCCCCATGATGCTGCTGATAAATGACTTGTCTTTGAAAACAGGGATTCCGGTTTAAACCATTCTATAGTTTGAAATTAACTTGTGGTTTGGACACTTGGTTACTCCTGTAGGCTGAGCTCATTGCACGCACCACTGGGCTTCTTCCGTTCCTCCATTCTCCACCACGAGATCCCTGTGAGCCACCCTCCCACCCCGCTCTGTTTCCCACGGGCGGCAGTGAAAGCCCTGACGGCTGTAGTTTGCCCTCCCCTGTTTTAAATGGTACTGGGAGAACAGGCAGTGTTGACATGGCAGGTATTATGCTAGAAGGTGTTAATGGCTGAGATCAACCAGTTCTTTGATCTATTGACAATTACAAGATGCAAGAAGCTCTGTTTGTTTCCCATCCCTCTTCCGATTGTGCACATTCCACCAAAACCAATAGGCTTCTGCCTACTGATGCCTAGAACGCTCCCAGATATTTTGCAATTGATTGGATGTGGTGTTCAAAAGTTATCATGTTACCAACATAAAGAGCTCTGTGCAAGCTCTAAGCTTGTGTCTCTCACCAATCAAAGACATTCCCTCACCCACCTTGTCTCTTTCTAATATAATGGGACCATGATGACTACAACAACGCTGCATGTTACAGACAAACAGAAACACTGTCTGGTTTAGCGTAGGGCCTTGCATTTCCCTTTCTAATTCCAAACGCAGGCTAGAATCCTATAGTGACTGCCACCCATATTCCCATTTGTTTTTCTTGCATTTTCTATGCAGTTTCCTTGCAATGACTTGAGCTAAATTCTGGGCAATGGGATTGCATGGATCTGAGCGAGAGAGAGTAGAATATGGACCTCTGATTTTCCCCAGCTATGTCTCTCACATCACATTCTCGTCAAGGAGATTTCACCTCAATAGGTTTTCCTGGCTAAGTATGTCCTTATATTCTTCATGTTTTACCCTTAGGTTATTGTGTTGATCCACCTGACATTCCCAATGCTGTTCGGAAGACTAATGTTGGCACATTGATTCCAGCCGGGATGGTGATTAAATATGACTGCCGCCCAGGTTATGAGCTGATCGCTGGACTAAGGCAGGGGCGTGTTACTTGTCTTCAAAATTCGACATGGTCTTCAGCGCCGAACTTTTGTCAGAGTAAGTGTTTGGCTAAATTATCTTTGTTTTAATTGATCAAATTTAACACCAATAGGGAGATTGTGCTTCTAGTCAGCTTGTGTATGGTTCAAAGTGTAGAGATGTGGTGAGAGAGAAGGAGGGATAGTCAGGGTCTTCTCTCCCTGCTAACACTGGGGATTATGGTTAGCAATTTGAGGTGTGATCCTCACTCCCAAGTAAAAGGTCCAGAGTGACAGAACAGGTCTTTAAATGCCCCAGATCCATCCAGAAGAGGACTCCACCCAAAGACAACAATAGGGCTGTCTTCCCAGAATCCTCTTGCAAGGCTTGAAGTAAGTGGTGTGCCAGTGGGAGGGGTGTGTTGCGGCATTTCACAGCACATAGCCCTGCAGAGATTCTGGGTAAAGTTGAAGCCAAACCCATAGACAGCTGGGCACAGGTCCCCAGGGCTGTCTGTGTGGAGCAGTCCAGTACTGGGAAGGTACAAAGGCAGCTTAAAGTTTGCATACACCCCGGGGCTATGAATTCCCTGTTGTGCCTCTTAAAATCTGCCACCTTTACATTTCTATGCTTACGGACAGATCTGTTGCCCCCATCCACCATCTCCATCTGCACCTAAAGTAGATAGCGATCAAGATAGATCACAGCATATCACCTGCTTTCTTATACATAGTATGGCTATAACACAGCAGCTGCTACTCACTGAGTCTATCTGTGATGAAGGCCAAAAATACCCTGCCAGCTGCAATCAGAACAGTGAAAATGAAGGCCCTTGACCCACATGCTGTTTCTGCCCAGGAGATAAAACTTTCTCTAAAACCAAGCCTCTTTAGCAATGTCATAACTATAAAAGGAAGGGTAACAGCTGTCCTGTGTACAGTACTATAAAATCCCTCCTGGCCAGAGACTCCAAAATCCTTTTCCCTGTAAAGGGTTAAGAAGCTCAGGTAACCTGGCTGGCATCTGACCTAAAGGACCAATAAGGGGACAAGATACTTTCAAATCTTGGGGGGGGGGGGAGGGAGGGGAAGGCTTTTGTTTGTGTTCTTTGTTTGGGAGTGTGTTCGCGCTCGGGACTGAGAGGGACCAGAC